CCCCCCCCAGTTAACTTAATTATTTAGTCCTTCATTCCCCTCCCGATTTAATTAGCCATTTATTTCAAATTCATTCAAAATTCTTGGTCATTGCACTTTGTAAATTTTTTCTGCTCCTTAGTTTCAGTCCCATTTTGAAGTTAATCTAAAATTCCAAATTCCTTTCTTGCAAAATACGACTTTTCAAAAAAAAAATAATAATAACAATAACAAAATAATAATCATAATTTTCCAGATTTACTTTAATTCAAAAATAAGTAATTCTTTCCTCGCGCTTTAAAAATATTTTAGAATTAATTATTTCACCTTCGGAATTTTCCTAATCCTGTGAAAAAATTTTAAATCTCCTCTTCCAATTTTTTTTTTTTTTTCAGAATTTCTTTTCTGTAATCCAGGATTACCTCATTCTTTCCTAAATTTCACGTTTTCTTGTAAATAAAATTTGAATAAATTTAAATTCAAATCGAAATTTATTTTTCTTCGAAATTAATCATTTGCGAGGATCAAGGTCCTCGGTAGGCCTAAGGGGCCCTGTTTGCAGCATTGCCTGCCCTAAGTGAAGGCGGAGGTGCCCGCCCTAAGTGAAGGTGGGCCTGACATATCGCAAGAGGCCCTCTACTGTCAATTTCATATTTGGGGTCCAGGCGGTTGCGACGCGCCAGTTGGTTGAGAGAAATTCAGGCCGGGCAACAAAGACATTTCCACGGCCCTCTGGGCTTTTCCAAAGAATGCAGGCCCTGGGCGTGAATCGCAGCCTCATACAGAGACAGTTAGGGACAACCGAGCGAGGCCCAGCAGCCCAGTAGCTGCTGTACACAGGCAGCCTCCTGGGGCCTTCCGGAAGCTTCTGGCCCCAGGCCAGGGCAGCCAGGCAGGGCAAGCAGCCCTGCTCTTTTCATAAAGGAAAGAGCTCTCCGCTGGCAGCCTCATTCGGTCACTTGCTGGCTGATGGCAGCGCTGCTGGAGCAATTGCTCGCGGGCTGGCTGCCGGCATGGGAGCAAGAGGCTGCGCATGTGCGGTCGTGTGTGGGAACAGGGCGATGCTGAGGGCAGCGCCATAGCCAGCCTCCATAGCGGGCTGGGCTTGGACACACAGTGAGGCGCAGGGGTGGTCTTCGGGTGTAAGAGAGGACAGACGTGGGAGTAAAGTCAGGGGATAGGTGAAGGATGATGATGATGATGATGTG